TTGGGAGGGGCTCAGCTGTCTGTATCACTCTACCCTCTGTCCTAGAAGAAGAAGAAGGAGGAGTGTAAAATCTGCACTTCTTCCTCTGCCTAAATCCACAAGTCGTTTTAACCCCTTCATTATTGGTTTCCCTCCTTAAGTTATCCAAGAACAAAGCTCCTTCTGTCAAAGTGCTTTTTTCTCTAGCTAACACAATTGCAGTTGGATCTAGATCTTGAAATTTTTTCACAAATTCATTAATTAACTGATCTTCAGAAAAATCAGCAACAAGTCTATATGCATTTTCAAATTTTGCAAAAAAACTAAATATATCCTCTCCTTTGTGTGGTTTTAGTTTTTCCAACATTTCAGTGTCTGCAAAATCATTCCCTGTTAATTTTATTAATTGTGTTAATCTGTCTCGCTTATTTCCATATATTATTTCATCATTGTCCTCACATTTTACAGGCGTGGTCAGCCTACATGCCATTTGAGTCGGCAGCCATATTTGAAATAGTCTATTCCTTTGTTCGTCATTTAGGCTGTATTTGTCTAAATTAGACTCAAACATTTCAGCATTAGTAAATGCATCCACTGACGTGTCATAAACTGGAATACATTTCACAATTTTCATTAATTGTTCATGGATTTTCAAATTAAGTTTTGCAGTTCTGTCTTGAAATTTACATTTCTGCAAATCACTCTGTGAGGATACATTTTCAGTATCAGTTGGTTCTGGGATTAGATTCTGTGCCTGTATTTGTCTTCTATTAACACACACTAGTTTAACTTCTTTTCTAAGCTGGCAACTAAAATCATTTCTTAGTTCAACTCTATCCTCTAATTCACAGACTTTTTCTGACAATGTTCTCTCTGTTACATTGTTACACTGTTCATTTAAATCTGATTTGTCTTCTGTTAACCCATTCAAATCTACTTCTTTTTCTGATGATTCTAAATTGTCTTGACCTGCATTACGTTTACAAATCAATGCACTGTAAGTACAGACTAGTTTCATAACATTTCTGATCTTTTGTTTTTTTCTTATTAACAAACAATTTCTTGTCAATTTCACTATTGGCAATTTCACATTGTGTGTATAAAGATTGCCACAATACAGCATCTGAATAGCTGCTATTAAATGCAAACTGCAATTTACTTTTCTCTGCAATATCATTTATGAATTCCATGTTACTCACCAGATCAGTTATCTCTGTCTATTTCGTTGCTTCATCCACACAGCTGCGCAGTTCTTTGCTTGAATCTGGAAATTTGCCAATCTCTGCCACGTGCTTGCTTCTAGATTTCACGTTGTATCTTGTGCTTTTTGTCTCAGTTGTTGAAAATAGTCTTGTACAGTCTTTATGATTTGAAAACTTTCTTTTTCTTACAAACCCAGTCTAGATTCTTTTTTTCTCTTCAAGTTTGTTTTCCCAGTTCCAAAATAGCTTTGTAACTCGATTCTTCTCTCTCCCCCCTTGAAGTGGGAACAAAACTTGAATAGAAGACTGGCTGGCTAGCCAATGTAAAAAAATGTAGATGAATGGATGTTCATGTGGAATCTTCTTAATTTCTTCTTGTCTTCAGCTGATTGATATATATACGTCTTTTGTATATATATTCTTGGGCCAAATGCTCGCCACAATAATATATGTCTATATTATTCAAAAGTAGTAATACGCAATCTGACTTACGGTTTCTTCAGGTTTATTCTTTGTTACGGATACATAATAAAACATAAAACATGATGTTACAGGATAATGGACATTCAACAGCAGATGGTAATTGCTGGACTTCTGATGGGAGAGTTACATCGTTGTACAGAGCCGAGAGCCAAGCCAAGACAGGACTAAGACTGAGAGACCTCGTGTCCCTCTGTTACTATATAGATGTGCTAATACTAACGTCAGCATTTAACTCTAGCCATATAAGGAAAAGACCACCGAATCCACATTCCAGAGCTCTCGGACAAAGAAAGCCTTGTGACTTATTGATACCATCTGTTACTTATGTCAATCCACACATCCATATATATAATCAATAGAAACATAGAATATGCAATATTCTACACTGTGAATGATGCACTTCCTTTTGGTTCTTTACTTCCTGTTACTGTTGTCAGTTGGTGGAATGTTCGAAGGATTTGAAATGGCGCCTGCAGAAACCCTGTGTAACAAGGCTGCAATATGAAGATCCTGTTATATATGTATTAATAAAGGGAGTACTTCATTATACAGGAATTATTGATTGGTTTGTACAAAACATCAGAGTGGCGATGAGGCTGTAGAACCCTAACTGACATGGCAACCATTGGCACTATAAAGGACTTTGATCCTGACTCGGATTTATGGGCCTCTTGGGTTGAAAGGCTTGAACAATATTTCATAGCTAATGATATTCCTGACAATAAACAGGTCGCTGTTTTCCTAACAGTTATAGGAGCCAGAACGTATGATGGGCCTCTTACACCCAGAGAAACCTGCCAGCAAGCCATTG